AGAGTCATGATTGACTCGCGAGCAGACAGGAAGGGAACTGGCACGCAGAGAGACTTGGTGTAGTAGAAGAGCTGCTGAAGAGCATTCGGACGAGCCAAAATAGCGAGGTGGTGGTAAAGACGACCCGTCTGAGGAGCCTTGTCACTGGCCTTTGAATACCAATGGCGCGAGACTGAGGTCCAGACCTCTCTATCCTTGAGATCATCATCTTCGATAGCCATGCTGTGATAAGAGTCAGTATGCAAGGAGCAAGGAGACTGGTAACAATGTCTTGTCTTGAGTTTACTGACCGATAGCGGCCCAAGTCGCCGAGGCATTCAACCCAAGTATCTTCGAAGGCTGGAACAGCCTCATACAACAGATTCATCATAGAGTATGCCAAATAAATGAACGTAAGCATATGCTCGAGCGAGGCGGGCAGACGATTACGCAAAAGCTCCAAGAATGAATGAATCCCATGCCTCCACATGCGTGCCGGCATTGCGTACTTGCTCGCGAGCCGTCGCAATGCCGGACTGGCCGAAGGATGCTGAGAGGCAAGGAAGAAATCGTGGTGTTCATGCAGCAAAGTTCGATGCAGAGCGATCAATGCCTGCCACTGATTATTATGGAGCTTGGGATTGGTCTCGTTATTTGAACTTTGAGCGTTGTCGACTTCGATACACTTCGACTCGACCATGACGAGCCCAGCGTAGATACCCTTCACCTCAGCAACAAGTTGTTCTTGGCTGATAGGGCGCGTTTCTGGCTGCTTGGTGAGTACCTCAGTATTATCAAACTCCGAGGAACGCGGGTGCTCGAACGATCGATTGGAATCTGCTCGGGGGAGGTCTGGGCCGTCTTGCGTAGGATTCCCCTCTTCAGTAGCCCATAAACTGCCCGCCTTGTGTGTCGGGTCCCTTTGGAGGTCACTGTCTTCAGCATGGTTGGCGCCCGAGGCTTGTGGCTGCCGTCGGGCCCGACTACGCTGGGGGGAAAGAAACCTAACATGACCATTCTTCCCATTGTTCTTTGTCGGGAGGGTAATGGCGTCTCTTTGCCGATCGTGCTCAGCAACGGACCTCTGAGTACTTGGCTCCGCATAGTCTTTTGATGCTGTTGTATGTTGATCGGGTGCGGACTGTGGTTGGTTCGACGTTGGGCGTGCTCGTTGTTCCCCGATTCTGGATAAGTAAACATTAGCACTGGACTACGCGGCTCCTTGATTGATGGCATTACCGTAGCCATGTTGAATATACTAAATCGGCCTGACCGATGCCGTCTTCACTATGGGCGTAGTCTTGAAAATGATGCTCCACATCGTCTTTCGTGGAGCCGATGGGAAATATATGATCATCGCAATATGTGCATTTTCGTGGGTTCGAGCCGTTGGCATGGGAGGCTGTTGTGATATGCTCCAAAATGCCACCCGAATCGCCCGTCATTTTCGACGTATCCGCGTGTGTTCCGGTTAATATCCTTGCAGGGACAGAATGAGCGTGAGTGCTTCGGGCTAAAGTGATTCCCGAACGTGTTTTGAGCCGACCAGATTCTGGAGACGAGAAACCAGCAGTAGAACAAGAAGGCTCTGGATACCTTCTATACTATGAAAACTTCGCTGTTCTACTGGGGTGCAATGCCGTTGGTCTGCGAGTAGTTAAGTACTGAAGCTCAAATCTCCAAGCAGAGGTTATTCGAATCCTTTATGACATCCTATATTGCGAGCCTTCCTGGGCGAAGGCAACGACGAGGCGGTTGACAGCGGGTGGGCGACCCAATCCGTCCTGTATTCACGCTCACACCCCCTGCGGAGCTCGAGGCACACTTGAAGCGTTTGTATGGACGCCTTGTATGCGGCTCTTCTCTGGCGAACCATGCCTGCGGACCAACCGTGGTTGAGATTCAGTTCCCCCTCCCTCTTTCGGTCTTTTGAATAGCACTCGCCTTAAGACTTGACCATGGGGTTGTTCAACGCTAAATCAGAATACGATTCTGCCAAACAGAGGTCTACTTCTTTCGTGCTTGCCGTCATTGATGGTGACGGTGTTATCTCTCTAGAAATATTGAGAAGGGTATCGAAGGAGACACTGGAGCCGGGTACCTCCTGCAGACAGCATTGAAGCCTCCGCCACGCCATCAACCCTGAACCGAGTCTCAAGTGTTCCGAGGTGGTAGCGTCAAAAATGTCGATAAGCTCTATGATAGCAGAGCGTTGGGTGTGCTACCATCTGGCCGCGTCGTGTCGCCAGCAAGCGTCTCTCGGCTTGTCCACGGCGCTGTACGCATATACTCCTCGGGTTACTCACCGCGCTGTCTCTTCTCTCTTTGACCTGAGAGCATCTGTATGTCTTTAGCTATGCCGCGCTGTTGTTGGCTTGGTATACGTCCGTCAAGTCCTACGGCGTACGATTGGTCTGGCGCCTGGCATACACTTCGCTTCGACAAGGAGAAGCTAGCCTTCCCGATTGTCAGCTTCCTGCAAAGTCCAAGGATCACCAGTGAAGAGCAATTTCATGGCAGCTCTGTTAGGTTAGATTCCGTTCGGTTGGTGCTAGACTAACATCTGCCAATGTTGCATTATTTAGCGTGGTTATGCGACGACAAACATCGTCAAGTAGACGTGATGGACCACTTAAGAAAATTTATGGGGCATGAGGGATGAGGCGTTGGAGCTTGTTTACTGTGCACAGGGAGCTACGATCATTGGTCAGTGCCTGACAAGCTTGTGGGTAATGAGATCGTATAGGTGGGTCCACCATGCTGGAAATGGTGTTGGACCATAGGGCGAAAGGGTTTCGGACATACACCAAGAGTATGTACATAGCATGGGTGCACACGGATTCGCGCCCAGCACGCCCCGGTGTCAGCGACCATCAGACACTGGGGCGTGCAAGTGCGCGGGGAACGGTACGCAGTGTGTAATCAGGGGGTGTGCATGGCCGCGGGTTTACGCAGCATAACCCCTGAGCACCCATTACGGATATAGTAATGCCACACCCACCCACCCATTCCCACCCCATCCCACCCCACCCGGCTGACAGGCAATACCCAAGCTGTGGGCCCTGATTTTTTCAAAGTCTTGATGACTTGATTACGCCAAGTCCTGACAGAAAGCCCTCCGCCGTCGCGGTGCAAGCTGGTTCCGCTTAGCGAAAGCTGGAGTAATCAAACACGGTCATCGTCAATCCTGGCAGGGAGCCCAGTCATCAGTCCATTCCGAATTCGCAAGCATTTCTGCTTTGTGCCAATCCATCCCTGTTGGTGCTAACGCCATTGTCAAGATGACCGTCTGCCGGTGACTTTGAACGGCCCTTTCAACAGGA